GCACCCCTCACATTTGGAGAAGGCCGGTGAGGTTGTTTGTTCTTAGAAAAAAAAAAAAAAAAAAAAAAGAATAGTTAGGCATTAGGCAGGTAGAAGGTTTCTGTTTCTTACTTAAACCACCAGTACTTGGCCCAGCTATCGGCCGCGGGGAAAAAATAGAGTAGAAACGTTTCTACTCGGATGAATTTGGGCGCTCCTGTAGTAGCCCGTACGTTTCCTAAAATCGTGGCGCGTTAACGGCCACGACTTTAGGAAGTACTCTGGTGGTTTAAATTAGCTGATTTTCCTGATCATGGTCGCATATATATATATATTTTTTAATTTTTAAAGGTCGCATATTATTGGCTACATAGGCTGAATGCCTTCTAATTCAAAATTTCACGCCTTCAGAGGCAGGGAACGCTCCCTTGTAGTTTACGAGTAGAGATTACTACTGTATAGGCGATGCTCTGGTTCGTGTTGAAATGTTCGGCTACTGTAACTTAAAGTTTGCTTTGGAGTTCTTCTGAAACTAAGCTGGCTGGGTGGAATTGTGAGGTCCCCGGACTCAAATTTTGATATGTATAGTGAATTCAACAGCGATTTGGGTGAAAAAAAAAGCAAAAAGGCACTCCTCAAGTCTGATTCAGGGAGTGTATGGAGGGCGCCCTGATCGCTGCTGACACAAGCCTCTTTTCTCGATCAGAACGATGGCAGTTATTGTTTTCAAAAATCGTAATGACTTGGAAAAAAATAAAAGTAAAATCGTAATGAACCACCTGTCGTGTCCTTGCCACACAGTGTCGCACTGGATATAGACCATACCCTCTATCGTGTGCTAGGGGGACCACGCTCCTGGAAGAGCTAATGGCTGACAGATTGAAAAATGATGTACTACAGTCTTCCCCCGAATACAACGTACGGTCATTATAGCTGAATTCGGGGTATGTTTCAGTCTAAATTCAGTTATAATGACCGTACGTTGTATTCGGTGGAAGACTGTAGCTGTGAAATTTGCTCCGCATTCCTCCACATCCGCATGGGAGAAACGAGCCACGTACAAAAAAAGAGCCTGTAGTAAAAAAATAAGACTCCTTTCACCCAAAAAGTTCGCGGATCTGAAAAATAGGTTCCCGAAAATGGGGTACCAGTATCGCGCTACGTTGCAAGATGAGATTGCAGCCAGGACCGTGAGGACAGTGAGGCGATTCTCTGGGAAGAAATAAGCGATAGCTGTTCTCAAAATATGTCTTCTCAGTTCCTTTGGGGTTGCCACTGTCAAATGCGGTAGAGCACACTGCCATGTTCTGTCGAGTCTTACATCTGTTGTTCGTTCAGCTTGCATAATCGTCGCCTTTATCACAGATCCACCGCATTTCCCATTTCTCCAGCCCTTTACTTATAATTCTTCGTCCCCAGATTTCCATCCCCAGCAGGATGGGTCTATTCCAAGTTCAGATACCGCACACCCCCCTGCAGCAACCTGCCAATGCTGATCCTGTCCTTTATTTTTTTTATAAATTATAATACATTTTTTTTGCCTTTTTTTTTTTTTTTTTTTTTTAAGACATGTAAAAACAATTTGTGAACAAATTGAGGTACAGGGGCCAATGCTGATCCTGTCCTATGACCTACCCTACTCTCACTTCCTCCAAGTGGAAGGGCCCTCTCTGGCCAATGCTGATCTCTGTGTCTTCCTTGACAAGCCTTGCCGCCTGCATTTGTTTCCTCGAATATCTTTCCACCTGACATTTGCCACTTGCATCCTCCTCCCACAGTCCCACTTGATCAATCTGAAAATCTTATCTTATCTGTTGGGCCTCCCTTCCTCCTGAACCAGCTGGGGCTATGTAGTATGGACTGAGGATTTCCTTCCAGTTCGGTGGCACGGCTGCAATCGAGGCTGCTGCCAGATGCTCCTGCTGTAACTCTAACTGCCCCAATAGACGTCGAAGTTGGTCCGGAGTTTTCCAACAGGGGGGTAAGTTCGACCCGGAGGTCACCCGCTGTTGATAGTCCCCTTTGAAGCCATTTGATACCGAAGCTGCCTGGTGCTGGTGAAGCCCAAAAAAACTGGCCATCGCTCTGTCTGCTGATGAGTACGTTCTCAAACAGTGGTTCCCGTAGCACCTCTGCCCTTGTGGTCGGCTTGGCGGGAAAGGGATTGGTAACCGTTGGTCTGCATTTTCTCCAAGCCTCAATTAGTACCGCCTTCCAAAATCTGGACTTAACTCACTTGTTCGGAAAGTGAGGTGTTGTGAGGGCAACCCGGACATCTGAAGTCCGTCTCAGATTCCACTCACACGCCAAAAGCCATACAGCCAATTCACACCAGTCAGCCTCCAGGGGGGGGCACGTCACACACTCTTATAAGCCATTTAGAGAGCAAGGTAATGTTTGCAGTGAACCGCTCAGATTCACTCTCCACACAACATGCACAATGAAAGCTCACAATAAGATTCAGAGTTCAGATAGCCAGCGCTCATCAGCGCAGCCAACAACAATCTCAATCAGGTCAATATATTGATGACAATGGCTGAAAGGTTTACCTGAGCAGAGAGGTAGAAGGGTAGTCGCGACTGTTTTTGTCGCATGCCATGGACAAGACGTGTATTCTGTGAAAGTAAAGCCTCGCATGTGTTGTCCAATATTGCAAGTGTGTATCTCAATCAGGTATGTAACCAAACTTCCTCCTCATGTGACTCTCTCTCTCTCTCTCTCTCTCTCTCTCTCTCTCTCTCTCTCTCTCTCTCTCTCTCTCTCTCTCT